ATTCATAAGGTACTCTACCCGAGCTCAAAAGACTGACAATGTCCAGACCGTAACTGGGGAACCTCCCTGCCGTACGCGCTCCAGGATACCAAGAACCTCCAGCAGCACACCATGACAAACGCCGTCCTCGACTTTGCCAGACTCGCCCGCAACGTCCAGCTGCCTTTCGACACGAACAGCAGCAGCAATGCTCCCCAAGCTGTGAGTACCAACACCTGGCTCCTGCCCAGAGAGCCGACAAGACTGACAGGCCATAGCCCTGGGTGTACACCGGCGGATCATACTCTGGTGTCCTGGCCGCAGCCATCGCGAAGCTCGCTCCGGGAACCTTCTGGGCCTACCACTCCAGCAGCGGTCCCGTTGAGGCGACATACGACTACTGGGGATACTTCTTGCCCATTCAGAATGGCATGCCCAAGAACTGCAGTCGTGACTTTGAGCGGATCGTCGACCACGTCGACAACGTCTTGCTCACCAGCAGTGATGACGAGATCTACTCCCTGAAGAAGAAGTTTGGCCTCCAGGATCTTGCTCACAAGGAAGACTTTGCCTCGTAAGTTGAAGCCGTGGTTGCTTGTAGTGGGTATGATTCTTACATGACACAGTGCCCTGATCGGACCCCTTGGTTACTGGCAGTCTATTCAGCTGTACTCGGGATACTCTGCCTTTTACGAAATGTGCGATACCATTCAAGGCGCCATTGGCAACTTCTCGGCACCCAACGCGACCTACAGCGCCGATGGCGTCGGTCTCCCAAAGGCTTTGAACAACTACGCCAACTGGTGGAGCACAAACTACCTCCCAGGAAGTAAGTCTTCGATCCCATGAGCTGTATATGTCTTGTCAGTGACTAACCTAATGTAGCCTGCGCATCCTACGGCATCGAGGAATGGTCCGACCCCCTTAACGTCGCCTGCTTCGACAGCTTCAACGCCACGAGCCCTATCTACACCGACTGGAGCGCCGAGAACCCGTTCGGTCGGACATGGTACTGGATGACGTGCAACGAGCCCTTCTTCTACTGGCAGACGTAAGTTCATAGCGCAGTGAATCCAGTGAAAATGAGAAAGAAGCTTGATGACTGACTGTGAATAGTGGTGCTCCCAAGGATCGTCCCTCCATCGTCTCGCGCTACGTCACTCCAGAGTACTACCAAGGCCAATGCGACCTCTTCTTCCCCAAGCAAGGCGAGTTCACCTACGCCTCCAACGAAGGCAAGACAGCGGCGGATCTGAACAAGGCGACGGACGGCTGGTTCTTCACCAACACCACCCGCCTAATGTGGTCCAACGGGTAGGTCATTGAATCGCACCCCGTATTGAGAAGAAGAAAAACAGCCTGACTGACGTTTCCATAGCGAGTTCGACCCTTGGCGCTCTGCCTCCGTGTCCAGCGAGCTCCGTCCCGGCGGCCCGCTCCAGTCCCGCCCCGGTGCTCCGGTCCACCTCATCCCGGGATCCCGCCACTGCAACGATTTGCTCGTCAGAAATGGCGCTGTCAATGAGGATATGCAGGAGGTTATTACCGCTGAGGTCGATCAGATGAAGGCTTGGGTTGATACATTCTACGCCTCCAAGGGCAAGTACAGACGCCGCTCTGCACGGCCTCTGTAAGGAGGGCCATCTGGCTTTGGGGTGCACTCAGGGGCAACTTCGCATCATGTCTCCTTAGATGGTGTGAGATTTTTGAGGAGATAGTAGCACAAGATCTAATTGAGTACAAGTTGAAATCAAGTCTGCTCTACTTCACAACCCAGACACAACCAACAAGCACCCTGAAGTAGAGGGTAGGTGGGTGACAGAACCACATGCCGGCCCCTGCCTACATGTACCTTACATATAAATCTATAACTTACGTTTCCCCTGTCACATCACCACCAACTTTTCCAATGCTGAGTGCTTTGTTTCTGACCACGGGGGTTTGAAGGTGTATTAGTAAAGTAATTCACACAGAGAGACCGGTGGAGAAACAGAAGATTTTCCCACTAAGACACCTGGGCTCAAACATAGCACGAAACTAAAGAAGACATGGCGGAGGCTCACCAGGTCCGTGTTTTGAGTCTCAGGGTTCTCAGATCCGGGCAACCACCCAGACGAAGACTCAGATTTCGAGTTTATCATCAACAGCTAACTATCGTCCGCATTGTTATGTATTAGATACGGGACATGGTCACATGGAGCTGAGCGGCAGAATATCTTCAATGTCACCCACCTCAAGGCTTCACAAGCTTCGCAGTAACGGCAAGCGTGAATCAATCAGGTTTCAATAATCTATAAAATTGACAAGCTAGAGACATTTCTATCAATATACGTATCTAATGCGCTACATGTAACCAGTCTCTCCCCCTGAAGAGCCCGAGACTTTTCGTAACGCGGCTACGTTTACCAGGGCAGCTCAGTGCCATCGTGGTTCTTGAACGAGCCGCTAATCTCCCGGGTGGCCTTGTCAATGGTAGCAACCATATCATCCACACTCTTCTTCACGGGAATGGCACCGAAAGCACTGAGGTCGGCACCAGCCTTGGCCGCCAAGCCAGCAGCCATATCCGTCTCGACCAGACCAGGGTGGAAGACAAAGGCAGTCAACCACGGCTCCTCAAAGTGCAGCCTGCGCACGAACCAGTTGAGCGCAGCCTTTGACGCGCCGTACGGGCTCGCGGGGCTGGGGATCTGGAAAATCGTCTCGGCGAGGCCGTTACTGCCAATAGCGGAGGAGATTGCGACAAAGATGGGGTTCTTGGACTTGCTCTCCTTGAGCAGGGGCTTCGTGGCGCCGAAGAGGACGAGAGGCGCGACCGAGTTGACGGCGAAGTGGTCCAGGGCGACCTTGGTGGAGGTGGCGGCGATGTCGGTCGAGGTGTGGGAGATGCCGGCGTTGGCGATGACGATGTCGAGAGCGGTGATGCCGTGCTCCTTTTGAATTGTTGCTACGGCGGCGGCGGGGTCGGATTCGACTGAGGAGTCGATCTTGACGACGATGATCTTGGAGCCTTCGGTCTTGGGGAGGTCGTAGAGGGCCTTGGAGGCTGCGGCGGCTGGGTCGCGGACGCCGACGATGATTGTTGTTGAGGGGCGCTGAAGGAGGAGGGTGGTGAAGCCCTTTCCGATTCCGCGGTTGGCGCCGGTTATGAGGTAAGTGAGTCCGGAAGACATTTTGGGTATTGTGTTTATCTGAGGAGAGGTGGAGTGGTTGTAATTGAGTTTGCTGCTATTGTGATGAAGTCTGTTGATGAAGTTGAGATGTGATGAGGATTCACCCAAAAAGCAGAACCAGGCCGGAGAAGACATCTTAAATAACTTCATTAGATTCAAGTTGGCACGTTCATACTTTCTAATGACCTGACAAATGCAACATCACATCTCGTGCTCGCACGCCTTGCGGAGTAGCCCATCTTCGAAGAGAATCGAAATGTTGCAGAACACCACTCCTGGGATACTGCATCCAGTTTCGGGGCCGAGCATAGCGTCTGAACAGATTGATAATCAAAGTTCGGATGGACTGCAGTTTTGGGAACGGCAGAGTTCCTGTCGCAGTATCAAAAGTCTGGGCGAATGTGTTGTTCACTAATCTGAAATCGCGACTAAGAGCTAAGTATGGGATCGGGATTAGTAGTCTGCACCGCTAAATATGCGGGCTCACTCATATTATTACAAAGCGTAAAACTATTCTGAGTGCAAGTTTGATTATTTATTATTGATGCTGCTCATTCAACGACTTTGCATTTGTTTCGAGCTTCGCGAGCTTGAGTTTTGTGACAAGTCGATCAGTCGTTGGGCAAATAGTGAGGCGTTCTGTGGGGGTCTAACGAAGACTTGAGAGGAGAACTCAAGGCAATCTCTAGGCTCTGTCGTTAAAGATAAGCTGGATAGAATCGTGATGTTCAATTATAGGCCAAGGCAATAAGCGCATTCAGTTTGCGGATAGTACTTAGTATTCATCAATTGCAGATTATCAGAGCCGGTATGACATGCAGACCGGTAAGATACATGGGCAGGTTAAGTCTATATCTTATTTCTACCAGTTTCAAGAACGTTGGCAATGATGATGAACTTACGAACGCAGAGACTAATGAATTCTTTACGTTTGTCTACCGTATATGTAAATAGGTAATGTAGAGAATTAGTTGATTCGTTATGATAGGAAACTGTAACTTATTAGCACTCGCGATCAGGTATAATAACTTGAGCAAAGTGCTTTCAACCCATCATTAACAATGTAAACAAACCGTTCAAACACATAAAGTGCCGTGAGTTGGTCTTGAGCACTTATCCTAGAAATATCCAGAAGCTCAATGAGACCTCGGGCTACTCAAATGCAGACAAAAAGCACCAATACCACCCGTTCCGATTCAAGATTGCATCTAAAAACCGTATGGTAGCACTTACTACTTCGAAAGGGTTTCATCCGAGGCGATTGATAAAGCTGATCATGGCTGATGCTGAACCTTCAACATTCAACCTAAATATCTGATTTTTCGAATTCCTTATAGCTGGTGTGTTGATAGCCATCTCTGTTTGACTTCCTCATGACATGGTGAGTTCATCCGACAATACCGCACCTGTTCACCTTGTCTTGTCAAGGAACTCGCTTTCTTAGCTACAAGTCTTTTTTCAAATATCTCAGAGTAGATGCTCAGGAGTTCAACAGAGTACAGTTAGGAAGGGTTAACTGTCAGAATTGGTAAGCTGCACTATGGCACCGCTCATCCCTAGAGTTTAGTGATCAGTCCACACCGCAGCCGTCAGCCCCGCCATTGTTCTGTGTTCACTAATCACCCCTCGCCGCCTCTTTGGCCAAAGAGAAGTCTCCAGACGGGCCAAATTCCTCCCAGCGGAAAGAGGAAGGCATCTTTTCTACCTCGGATTGCGCAGATGCCCTGATTACCCAATAATGACTTCAAGATAAGGCTTGACCACAGTGACACAGCTTCTAATCAGTATCTTTAACAGGACTTTGCATGCTTGACCACCTCATTGCTGACGAATGTAGGTAAGCCTATCCCATCGGGTGCTGATGGACCTCATTTTTGCCAAAAGCGGGGTAGAGCCAATAAGGGCGTGGAAAATCTTTAAGTTAACCAATCGATTTCCAGTACCTCTAATCTCTATAGATTCTGGGTATGCCAGAGGTACCAGCAATCTCTATCAATACATAATGGTACGTCACAGTCTAAGCAGCCCTTCCGAGTTTTTTTCCGCTGCTGCTGCCGAGTGAGGTTATTCCTAGATACCTCACCTAAAGGCTGCCGTACTACCTTCCTACTACCACAATAAGAGCAAGGTGAACAAGCCTTTCTTGATCCCTTCCTATGGTGTTCCCATGGAATAGAGGTATTTCTTTTATCTGTAGCCGGCCTAGGTCGTGAAAGTCTTCGCCCACCTGCTGATGGTCCAAACTGTTGAATAAGCTGGGCTGCAAGCAGCTGCCGCCATTGGTAGGAAGAAGTCCAGCGGGTTTGCCGGCAGCTGCCGTACCTCTCGGGCCCGGGTCGGCACGTCAAACGGCCGGAAGGAGCCCGGAAGACCATGCTCGGTAGCAGGAGGTTCGTGGGGCCGGACTGTTGCTGCGTCACAGCGCTCTGGCGTACAGTCTGGATTGCAGACCGCAGTAAGGTCTTCGGGAAGGATCTCAACTACTATACAACTGCGTACAGAAGTAATAGAAGCATTAGAAGCATCAGAATCACTAGAAGACATCGCAGCAGTAATTGAAATGGTAGTAATAGTGGCAATAATAGGTAAAAGAGCATAGGGATAAATGACGTACCGTCAAGTACCCCTTTCAACGCGGTGAAAAAATGGGTAAATAGTGGGGCGATTGAGTCTTGGCAAAAATGAGGTCCATCAGCACCCGATGGGATACCTATCTCTCTTTTCTCGATATGCCACCTCACGTCCACTTCTGATCGACCAGCCGTACACACAACACCGCAGCTCCCGCGGCACAACAACCAAACAACATCATCTGGAAGCCCTCCCACATGCATCGTATGCGTGATGTCTTCCCATCTCCCAACAACCAGCCTTTTCCGGCTCCAAAGGCGAACAGGGCGATGAGACAGACGGCAATGCTCCACAGAAGCCCGCGACCCACGCTTGAGGCGAAGAAGTACGGCAGCAGAGGCATCAGCCCGCCGCAGAGATACCCGAGGGAGATGGACAGGCCCGAAAAGATCGGTGATACTGGCAGGCGACTTGATTCGACCGCGTCATTTTCGATGAATGCTCCCGGTCGGCTAGCTTGCGCGCCCCTGATTCTCTCTGAAGCCCAGCTAAATCCTCCCGATTGAGATCTCACGGCTTCGACTACCATCGCAACAGTCGTCTCGGGTAAGCCTAGTGGTTGTAAATACCGGAGCACTGCTTCCTCTTCATCTACTTTTTCGTCCGCGCGGCGCTTGTCGTCGTCGATCTCATCCTCGCTGCGTCTTCCTGCCGATGACAACATGCCCTGTTCCTCCTCATCTACCGGCGGCGGCTGCACCCTCCGAGAGTCATCGTGTGAAGAGTCTCGCGCTGCCAGGTAACCTCCAATCCCCATGCTGATACATCCCGCACATAGCTCCGCAAGGCCGGCATAGATGACTGTCTCGCTACGGCCGAGTGAGCTCAGGCCGGCTGTCAGGGCGAATGGCACGGTGAGGCCATCTGAGAAGCCGAGTGTGAAGTCTGATAGGAAGCGAGAAAGCTTTGGAGAGACCATTGCTTAGATGTGTGTCTGTATTTCGTAGTTGGAGAGTGTCTTGGCGATTCGGCCCAACATCCGACAGTCTGAAGGGGACTCGTCGGACTGGATTAAGGCTGTGAGGACAAGTAAAGTAGGTATGCGTTAACTGAGTGAAGCATATGACAATTCGAGATATTCACATTGAATTCCGGGGATCGAAGCACAGAGCTTGGAGATTCAACCTTTGGAAGCTCAAATTGCAGAGAGACGGGAGGAGAACCCCGGCAATGATACACCGGCACAGGATGGACTGCATTTTGCCCCTCACACGACTAAGTCTCCAATTCATAATCGCTCCTGTCCACGCGCCGTTTCTGCGCTTCTAAGTGGACGATACGGCACAGCCACAACACAACCAAAAGGTCGGTTGAGAAATGCCGTGATACCCAAATGTTTCTTCAAGTGGAGCAATAGTCGGCATCGAAGTCGAAGAAGGGTGTGGGGAGCAAGAAACATCTGTCAAGACACAAGCTTTCGCCCAGAGGCGATGCCAAGAGTGACCACGTGTGTGGAGTCCCGCGGAGAATATAACCCCTCAATCCTCGGCCAATAATTCGAGATGGATTTCTCACCTTCTCGACAAGGAAGGACATTTTGTGGTCTAATGCAGGGATAGTCGTTGACGATCTCTTCTCCACCTGATGCTCTCCCCTGCTCGGCCCGTTGTCAATAAACATCCTTGTGGAACGACTCGTCAACATCACGAGGGCTGATTGCATGATATGTACCATCCGGGTGACAAGTTCTTGGAGGCAGCGTGGTTGATCTTGTCCGGCCAACTCCGATGCCGTTCTCATTTCCTCCTCTCTTAGCGCTGTCGCTGCTATTATCTCTATTATTATCGCGCCTCTTACCTTTCTCGGTCTTGATACCTCTATCTCTATTGTTACCGATGTTGTTCTTGTCGCCTCTCGTCTCGAATACTGGTATATTCGAATTCGTATACTGTGGAAAAGCTTAATAGAAATTAGAAAACTGATAGATTAAGAGAATGGGAAAGAACTACTTAAAGTATAGAGAACTAGAGAGGCTGTTGAAGAAATAAAGAACTAAGGTTAGAGAGGACTATTCATTGATTTTAAATTTAATGGGACTTAGTTGTCCAGACATCATTTACTCTATCTGGCCTAACTACTAAAGGCATGTATATTCGAGTTTCTCAATAACAAAGGTTGTTGTTAGAAAGCCCGCATGACTCTCAGTAATACTCTGTCTCTAGACCTTACGCCTTATAACCAGGAGGCGGGTTAAGGCCATCCGAAACCTGGACCGTATCCTCGTAGTAAGTAGGAGCTTTGCTGTCTTTCCACGTCGCCTTGATGGACTCGAGAATCTTCCTGCCCGCCGCATTCTCGTCCAAAGCCAAATTGGGCTTGGGGTACTGCTTCGGCGTCTTGGAGTGAAAGAATCCAGCATACGACAGGTTGAAGTAGCGATCAGGCACCGTTGACGTGTTGCTCCACTGGCGTATAACGCTATTGGTCTTGTCCGCAACAAACTTGTAGACGTTAGCGCCGACATCCCACCTTCCGAGTGTTGGGAGGTCCCAGTTGGCCTCGACTGTGGCGAGCTCCGAGTAGTGGTTGTAGAAATTTGAGTCCGTCGTGCCAACAAGCTCTTGAGGGACTGCGTCTCCCAAAAGGATACCAAGGATGCGGTTCTTCTGTGTGTACGTCTCATTCTCATCCCAAGTGACCAAAACTAATGTGTTGTTCATGAAGTTCTTGTCTTCGAGCAGCGGCTCAAGAAATTTCCTATTCCAAGCACCGGCAACAGTGACAGAGGAATCGTGGCCGTCATTCAACATCGACGGGGTTGCGAAGATCCATTGAGGCAGCTTGTTGGCCTTAAGGTCTTTGTGAAACTGTGATCGCTCCGGGGAGACAGTGGACAGGTTTTTGATCTGGGACAGACGCTGCTCCGAACTGGTGACGCTGTCAAAGAAGACTGGCGGGTTGTGTTTGCGGACATAATCATTTGCTCCATTGGTTTGGTTTATCCAGGCCATGCCTTCGAAGCCAGAGAACGGCATGTCCTCCTGGTAGGCCGCCCACGAGATTCCTCGAGTGTCAAGAAGATCAAACACTGTAGAAACATTGCGGTCGGCGCGATTAAAGTTATCGTTGTTCATACCCAGATAATCTCCAGAAACCGATGCAAAGTAATTGGGCTCAGAGGGATGAGTGACAGCAAAGTTGTTCGACAGTGTGATGCCCTTCTTGGCGAGCCATGCAAAGTTGGCTGTGGCAAGTCAGACTCTGAATGGACAAAGAGCTCAAAGAAGTACTTACGATCACCGATAGCCTTGTCATAATCCGTGTTCTCATTCCAGATAATTACAAAGCGGTCGAAAGCCTTGCCCTTGACGTTGCTCGTCGGACTGCTGGTCTTGGCCGTGGCAGCAGCAGCCGCAACGGCAGCAGTACCGGTGGCAGTGTACCGTGTCTCCCAGCCTCCAGAGGAGCTTGAAGAAGTCGCTCGAGCAGCAAGAGGCGTAACAGCGGCGGCGTGGGCACCGGCCGCGAAGAAAGCTGCGGCAACTGCGCAACGCATCGTGAAGTTGGTGAAGCTAAACAGACCTTCAAACGAGCGATTGAAAGAACGGCGTGACGAACACAAGGAGAATCAAATCCTCTAGGCCGGGACGACCTTGATTATTTCATCTCTTCCACCATTTGCTGTCGGACACCTCCGCGTCGGTGACTCTGTAGCATCGGGACGAGGAATGGGGAAGGTCACACCCCTGACAGGCTGACAGCATCGCCACCCCTGCGCACGGGAACGCTCGTCGATCCATTAAACGAACAGATGGATGGGACGAAAAGAAGGAGCCTGTCACTGCTTTTCGATCTAGTGGATGGCATTGAACCCATTTCCCCTCAGTCGACCTGGACTGTCCGAACTCCAATTGCAGACGCAGGTTGTCAAAGTGTGAGGTCTGATTGGGTCATTCCGAGCGCACGTGTAAGAGGACAGGCTTCCCGAGAGGGCGGCAACGCGCGGGCAGAAACAAAACAGAATGCTACGCCACCCCGTTTCCCAACAAGTTACCTGCCTTGAACGGCAGTTCGGCTCGTGGGCGGCATTGTGTTCGCATTTTCAACCTCTTGTCTGAATTTCAGTTCTTCCTGTACTTGCGCTATTTTCATGTTGTCTTCGTAAAGACACGATGAGATTTGCGCCATGGACCCCGAGCGAGGAAGCGATCAAGAGAGGCTCTTGAGTACGGCTCTGACGATCTCCACCGATTTCAACTTGGACCAGTTGGAGGCTTCGTCTTACGGTTCAGCCACAGAAGAGGACAACGGCGAGAAATCGCCGTTTCTTACTCCCCAGAATGATGACGAGAGACCACAACGGTTGAGGAATCGACCAGATGGCTCTTGGCTGAGTCGAGTTTTTGCAAGTGTCTTTGGTGTTTTCGTCTTCTTCTTCATTTTCTATGCATCGGATCTGCTTTATCCAGCCACTGCGCCACATCATCATGAAGCGCCAATCTACGTGATCAAAGAGCCAATTCCATCATCACCGCGATTGAGGAACTCGTCCGAATACGTTCTGGGCACTTCTTGGGAATTCAACGCCGCGGCAAGCACGAGAGAATACTACTGGACGATCAATGATGCGACCTTCAATCCTGACGGGATCTTTCGGCCGATGATGCTCATCAACAACCAGTTTCCTGGGCCTCTCATCGAGTGTAACGAGGGAGATACGATCGTTGTCCACGTCCGCAACGAGGCCATCAATGCTACAGCCATTCATTTTCACGGCATGTATCAAAACGGCACAAACTCCATGGACGGCACCGTTGGCGTTACGCAATGCCCAATTGCACCCAACGCGACGCTCACGTACAGATTCACGGTCGAGAAACAGTCAGGAACATATTGGTTCCATGCACACCACAGCAATCAAGCTTCAGATGGGCTCTTCGGGCCTCTGGTCATCCACCCAAGAGACAACCAAGCGGCGAGGGACCAGTACTCGACTGATCGAGTCGTCACGATTTCGGACCACTACCACAACACGTCTGCCGAGTTGTTGATGGACTACCTCCAGCCAGACCAGGAGAACGACGAGCCTGTGCCGTCAAGTGGCCTTATCAACGGGCGCAACTATCGCGACTGTGCCGACTTTGATGGATGGAATTGCCGTAATCAGAACGCTCGTCTGCAGTCTTTGGAAAACTTTGACCTGGTTCCAAATGAGCGGCACCGCCTGAGGTTCATCAACACCGGCGCCTTTGCTGAGTTCCAAGTCGAGATCGACGAGCATCCGCTCTACATCACCGAGGTTGATGGGACTGATGTTCACCCTGAACCCTTCCACCGCCTCAATATCCTTCCGGCGCAGCGCTACAGTGTGGTGATTGAGACCAACGTTACCACTACCGACTCATTCTGGCTTCGAGCTAGGATGGTCACGCACTGCTTCGCACGAGAAAACCCCTGGCTCGATTCAGAAGTGAAGGGAATCGTGCGGTATGCTGTAGCAGATCTCTCCGGCATCAAGAATGCACATAAAGTAGCTCCAGAACTCAGCGAGCCACAAAGCAAGAGCTGGGATGAGGCAATAGACGTCGACTGTCGAGACATGAACACAACTCTCCTCAGGCCCCTCGACGCGATTCCAGCACCCAACACCACGGCCACAATGTACCTTCGCGCCAACTTTGAAATCGGGGCATGGCGTCTGTCGCGGGGCTTCTTCAACGCTTCAACGTGGCACGCCAACGTAACTTCGCCGGCTCTGCATCGCTTCATTGACGCCGCGAAAAGCGACAATGACACGTTGTTCCCGTCCACAACCAGCGTAAATGATATCACCTTCAATCCCGAAAATGAGTTTGTGTACCAGACGGAAGGTATTCAAACGGTCAACATAATCATCAGCAACTTTGACGACGGCGCGCACCCGTTCCACATCCACGGACACAAATTCTTCGTTCTGAAGCAGTCTCCAACAGGCTATCCGCCTGAAGACATGGTCGAGTTGGAGGAAGAGCTTGCAGCCTCGGGCGTTCTAGAGAACCCGCTCAGAAGGGACACAGTGACTGTCCAAGGCTACGGGTGGGCGGTCGTCAGAGTCGTCCTGGATAATCCGGGTGTGTGGGCGTTTCACTGCCACAACGCATGGCATGCGGAGGCGGGCATGATGATGATGATTGCGGCGAGGGTCGAGACGGCCAAAGAATGGAAGGTGGCGAGCGAAGAGGAAGTACGGCTCTGCGAGTTGCCCGGGGTCGAGAAAGGGGCCAGGCCTAGTGATGACGTTTGGTTCGGGAACTTTGGTTGAGAGAGCAAATACGAGATTCTGTAAATCCGAGGCCGATTACACCGCCTCTGACGGTCTAACCCACGGGGAAATTTGTCGAGTCGAGACGCTCCATCTGTTTCCGTCCTGTAGTGAATCAGGAATCAGCTGTTGTGGGATCCATTCATCAGTCAGGTTTCTACTAAGTCCGGCAGGTTACCAACGGCTAGAGTACCCTTGTCAACCCGCTCGTTGTCAACCCCCCGTGGGCAAGGCGTTGTGGTCCTCGGCATTATCCCTTGCTCATTGGAGGTTTTATCCACCGAGGTTTCCATCGCCTTCACTTCTCCGCGTATGTACAAAGTTGAATTTGGCCGGACGATCTAGACCGCTGAGAGTCTAGAAGTCCTTAGCAAGCTAGTCTGTATCCAGGTGCTAAAGCAGGGGGCACATCGAATATTGCAAGAGATTGGGAAATAGGCAAACGGGTCCCGTACTAACTTGATCGGATCCCGGATTCCGCAGTTCCCATCATCCGGTCTCTCATGAGTGCACGTGTGCTGCATCAGCCATGCGGTTCCATAATCCCATTTGCCATGATTCCCATTTCACGCCGGGCCCCGCAGTGGGAGGCAGAGTTCTGGGCCCCTTAATTCTCCCTTTTGCAGTTCTGCGACGAATTGGTTGTAGTGTTGTTGGAACTTCCATGTTGGAGCCTTTTCTGCGAACTTGTGATCGTCACCTTTCGGTCCGTTGCAAAATTCTCAAAGTCAACAAAGGAGAGACGTAGTACGGAATTGACAGAGTGTTCCAATTCTCTGATGTAAAAAGTCCCGTTGAAACAAGAGACAACTGATGCGTCGCATTGAGTCGGAAATAAAGAGCAATTGGACGCTCGTGCCCCAGTTTATCGCACTCTGTTCATCTGTTGGTCCTTCCTTTCTTCACCTCACCCACTTGCATACATCTCAGTGCCGAGTTCCATATTATTTTTGGGGTATACGATCCCAGCTAGATAGGACGCGCGCCCCGTCAACTCATCTTTAGGATGGAGCCGCTGAAGCATCTGCCTCTAGAGATATGTGCCGATTGCCGACTATTCAAGAGTCATGTCGATGTCATGTTCATTGTTCAATGATGATATGCGGCTGAGACTGGAGCGTGCCATGTTAAGAGGGAGCCGGCAAATCGGACGGAAAAACCAAACATGATGCGACGTTGAAATTGAAGGTTCAGAGTTTTGACTGGTGCAAATTCAAGGACTGTCAACTCCCTAGCTGCCGTTCAGATGACTTGTGTTTCATCCGCCATCCAACATAGGTCAACACGAAGACGAGCGCAACCTCTAATTCCCTTTCAGGATCGTAAGAGGGGGTAGGGAGAAAATCTGCCAAGTCAAAGTGAGATAAACACCTGCGTCAGTTGCGTTGCAGCGACAAGCGAAAAGGCGCGAGCAGCCGAAGGTGTCGGATGATGGACATTCATGGTCAAGACTCAAATTAGCTCGTCAACGGGGACCCGGTTCTGGCAATATTCTGCATATTCTGCACATTCTGCACGCGTGACGGGCCAGCGCCAACATGACTAGGCCATCTTGAGGAAGTTTGGAGGGCAGCAAAGAGTCGAGGATGGGCCCGAAACTCTGAACTTTCCCGCCAATCATGGGCAGAACAGGCAGAAATGTTCCATGGCAACACCAATTCTCATGGAACTGGTAGACGCTCCCCGAAAGTCAATTCTATTGCAACCGTAGACCAAACCGTGATGTGATCAACCCCCCACCCCACTCCCATAAGTCCCTTCAGCTATACGTGTTCGGGAGGCCGTGACCACCACATTAGCAGTTTTTCAACCAAGCTAACCCTTAAGGCACGTAATATCAGTCGAACTCTGTTCAATTTAAAGCTCACATTGTCTGACCATAAACTTTCCACCAACCAGCCGCCCAGGTACTAGCATCCCTGGGGAACAATTGGTCCGTTACGCGTCCAGTGCTCCTAGGCAATCCCCCTTTCGCGGCTCCCGTCCCCTCCTCCTTTTGTGTGATGTCGCCCAACACTGGGAGGTTCGATGTTTACCACAATGAGACGAAGAGCCCCAGTTCAAAGTTGCGGCTGGAAGAACGGCACGGAACTCGGCAACTTGAGATCCAGGATTGATACAACCACCTATTGAATAGAGTGCCTAGATTCGATCGGTGCAAGGGCCGGACGACCCTGCTTCAACAGGCCTTAGCCTTGGCGGCGCACGAAAGCAGTCCACAGCGCGGAGCTCGAGGTGGTTGTGGTGCTTGTCTATGTCAATCCCGGAGATGGCGCCGTTGGGCAGAACCTAATGCGATTCCAGAAATTCAGGAGTTGTCGGTGGGGTTTGCCTGCCTGCATGGGACTATGACGAGCAAGGGTCATCCCCGGCACTTGCGTTGCTTCTGGCCTGGGGCCCGGTCTAGCTCCGTCTTCCATCTAACTGACTCGGCCAGTGTTTCCCTGTTCCCATGATGCGTCCAGACGACTAACTGAGCAATCGGTACGTGGAACAAGGTATCCGTACGGGAAGAGGTAGTAGAGAGAAAGAGAGAGCAAAGAGGATGGCAAACAGGAGCCGTTCGTTGACAGGCCTTGGCAAGGCTGTGCCAAGAGATCCCGTCGATTTGGATATAAACCATCCTGCAGTTCCTCCCCAGATTGCCAAGAAGCTTCCAAGACATCACTCCCGCAGATCTCATCCAGTTTACCATTCTAGAGTCTTGACTCATTCATTCTTTCGTCTTATTTTTTAACCAATTCTGATACTGTGTATCAAGTCACTCACTACCACCAAAACAAACTTCCTTCCATCAAAACAAACTTCCTTCCACCAGAACAAACTTCCTTCCACCAAAATGGTTTCTTCACTTCTCGCCCTCGGCGCCTTGGCCGCCACTGCTATCGCTGCTCCCCTCGATGCTCGTGCCGGCTGCACCTTCACCGATGCCGCTGCCGCCATCAAGGGCAAGGCCAGCTGCACCAGCATCATCCTCAACGGCATCGTCGTCCCTGCCGGTACCACCCTCGACATGACCGGTCTTAAGTCCGGCACCACTGTAAGTTTGAAGAGTCTCTGGCTACCAAGTAACCCCTTAGCTGACACCATGTAAGGTCACCTTCCAGGGCAAGACCACCTTCGGCTACAAGGAGTGGGAGGGACCTCTCATCTCCTTCTCCGGTACCAACATCAACATCAACGGTGCCTCCGGCCACTCCATCGACTGCGGTGGTGCCCGCTGGTGGGACTCCAAGGGAAGCAACGGCGGCAAGACCAAGCCCAAGTTCTTCTACGCTCACAGCCTCAAGAGCTCCAACATCAAGGGTCTCAACGTCCTGAACACCCCCGTCCAGGGCTTCTCCATCAACAGCGTCACCACCCTCGGCGTATACGACGTCACCATTGACAACTCTGCCGGTGACTCTGGCGGTGGCCACAACACCGACGCCTTCGACGTCGGCTCCTCCACCGGTGTCTACATCTCCGGTGCCAACGTCAAGAACCAGGACGACTGCCTCGCCATCAACTCCGGCACCAACATCACCTTCACCGGCGGTACCTGCTCCGGTGGCCACGGTCTGTCCATTGGCTCCGTCGGCGGCCGCTCCGACAACACCGTCAAGACCGTCGTCATCTCCAACTCCAAGATCACCAACTCTGACAACGGTGTCCGCATCAAGACCGTCTCCGGCGCCACTGGTTCAGTCTCTGGCGTCACCTACTCCGGCATCACCCTCTCCAACATTGCCAAGTACGGTATCGTCATCGAGCAGGACTACGAGAACGGCTCCCCCACCGGCACCCCCACCAAGGGCGTCCCCATCACCGGCCTCACGATCTCCAAGGTTACCGGCTCCGTCGCCTCCTCCGCTACTGATGTCTACATCCTCTGCGCCTCCGGTGCCTGCAGCAACTGGAAGTGGAGCGGCGTCAGCATCACTGGCGGCAAGAAGTCCACCAAGTGCTCCGCCATCCCCAGCGGCAGCGGTGCTGCTTGCTAAGCGTCTCGCACTTCCGAGTTTTCTCGGCCGCTCTCTTCTGAGTCGGTGATACCCACCTTGGGGTGCTAGTCTCTTTTACTTGGTGGGAACGCTGACGCGGATTGTTTGTGCTGGACTTTCTTGTAATGAGTTGAGCTGTGTCTGCAAATTAGTCAGCCGAGCGCAAATTTGTTCCTGTATATAATTTCCTTTGTCGTCCTCAAGATGTCTTGAGGCGAGATACATACGAATCCAACTACATACTGGATGAACTCCTTCGTTTCCTCTTCGTGACTCGCACTTGACCCATGTTCCGCTTTAAGCCTTTGTGCCAAGAAACCAAGAGATAAACGACTGCTCATTTCCACATTAGTTACAAGGATCCCGGCATGGCATACCCCTGTATCGTGAAAAGCCCCGACCCCCGACCCCCGTCCCCCGACCCCCGTCCCTCATTTCCAACCGAACCACAAAAGGGTCAGGCCACGCGACAACAAAAAGTCAACCCGAAAATAAAACGAAATGCCCACCAGCAGAAAAAGCAAAAGAAAGACTCCTCGACGGGGAATTGAACCCCGGTCCCCTGCGAATCGCTGAATTTCAATGACAAGCAGATATCCTCACCACTAGACTATCGGGGATTGGTGGATGTTGACATCCAGTGATAGTTGGTTGACAACGAATGCCGCAGGTGCTTATATCAAGCTTCCAACCAGACATTCTCACCTGCGATTCTGAATGATGCTGGTCTGTTGATTACTTCATAGGCATTGATGAGATAAACAGATCTTTCCGGTCAATCGGTTTCTTGCAGAGTCATTTTCAAAGCCCGGCAAGTCTTGAAACCGAATGTTGTTCATTCGAGATGCAACAGAGCGTAAGGTCAATGTTGGCTGCATCAGAAAATTGAGCGGAAATCTTTGCACCACAGGCTAGAATAATCGTTTGCAGATTGCATAGCAAGTCGTGCAGCGGCACTCTCGATCGGTCAGTCTAAAGTTTGTACAACAGCCATGCCTCCGGGCGAAGTTTACATGCACACATGCTGCATCCTGAAAGTTCTCGTCATATGGCAACCTTTTGGGTTTGGGCCAGTTCGTCTGATATCGATGATGGACCGAGCTAAACAACAAGCTCGTCGATCGTATTCGAAGTATATACTTTCGCAATTCAGTCTTCAATATGTACATGAAATTCAAATGATTGGCCGGGCTCAGTCTCTCATGCCGGCAGTGTGATAATGAGTCGAAACGCTTAGCAGGAAAACACAGTCGGGCCGGGAATGGTGTAAGTTTGCGCTTCAAGTAAAAAAGTCAGCATTGAACAGGAATCCGAGTGCACATGGTACAACATACCCTTGTAGGCATCATAGGTGATACCAGGGTCGGTCGACTTGTACGCGCCGGGGATGGCAACCAGCGAAGTCGCAGTCTTGGTGCCGGAACCAGTGACCTGCAGTTGATGGCATCCGGGGTAGAACTGGGCTCCGGGGTAAGAGTAGGCGGCGTGCAGAGCAATGATCTCGTGGCGGACGAGGTAGTAGCCCGACTTCAAGCAGGACGGGATCGTGTACTGGTAGCCGGAGTTGGCAACCATGAGGGGCGTCTGGGTTGTGACACACATTAGTTATCACTGATTAAATTTTAGAGACAATTACAAGTTACTCACATCAGCCCAAGTGTTGGTAGTTCCGGTGCGTCCACCCTCCTTGACCTTGAACCACACAGCACTGGATTCAAAGGTTAGCCGCGGCACTTAGGCACAGTTGCGAAGTATTCTTTCACTCACGAAGTGCCGGGCTGCCATGCCTGGCAACCGGTATCGGGGCATCGCGCCATGTACGTGATGACGGGACCGACGTGAGAGTCGGGCCAGAGAGTCCACCGCAAGGTGACGGTCGATCCAGCAGCAGCTGTGGCATGCAGGGCCGCGGGCGTCGAGCCTGAGATGCCACCGGCAGTGTACCCTCCGCACTGGACATCGATCAAGTCAACGCTCTCTACGGGGCCGTTGCCTTGGACAGGGCGAGAGATTCTCTGGAGCTGTTGGACACTGGGTGAGTCGTGATATCTTCGCATTTGGGATGAAGCTAGACTTACAGTAGGGCTCGTGTACGGGTCTTGGTAAGGCTAAATATTTTGTTGTTGTTGTATTTAACGCCGTGGCGGCAAAGGCGCTGCCGCCCTTGCGGCCGACCTCCCGAGGGGTATATGGCGTGGAGGGCCGTAGGCTCGAGCTATATACTCTATAGTACACGCCTCTTCCTAACGTCCTCCAAATCTTGCCCGTGGGCTACTGTCTGTTCTATCCGTCCCTAGTTCCCGCTGGTTCCCTAGCTCCGTTGTTACCGTCTGTCCCTCTAGGAGGGGAAATTCGTTAGTCGGGCCTAGGTCAAGACCTAGTCCTTAGTACCGCGGGCAGATCTTCTAAAAGAAGTCTGTCACGCGGAGAAAGGCCTGGAAGCCAATAGGATCAGTAATTAACCCCTTATAGTACCGCTCAAGGGATCCTATAGGTCCTATAGGATCGAGTAGGCTAGAAGGGTAGAGGGTAGGCCACTGATGCCTCCTCATCAGGGTCTTTTGGCAGTAGACCAGATGGTCTACCGCCTTTGCCTCCCCGCAGGAGCAGGTAAGCAGTGCTTCTGTATGGTTAAAGCGTTGGTGGTATTGTTTGAAGTCTCCATGGCCTGATCGGGCTGCTAAGAGATGATGAAGGATAGCCCGTGGTAAGGCTAGTTCGGGGGCGCAAGCGAGGGTAGCCTTGAGCCCTAACTGGGTATAGCGGGGAGTTGCCTCTTGTTTCCACCATCGTCTATATTGGCGTCTTGGCCGCTCTTTAGCAAGCCACTTGATACCTGATAGAGTAGCTAGTTGGCCCCTAAGGACTGGTAGAGTTGTTCCCTCCTTAGCTAGGCTGTCTGCTTCTTCGTTTCCTTTAATACCTTGGTGCCCAGGAGACCAATGGGTTTTGTTGGAACAGCAAAGGCTGATAAGGAGTAAGTCAAACCCCCCACTTCCTGGCACCCCCCTGTTTCTGGCACCCACAAAAACGCGAAAATCCACCACAACCCAATGCCCACCCCCAACCTCCTTTTATCACAACATTTTCAATTCGCGTCCAAATGGGCTCATCTTTTGCACATACCTTCTTCTATATCTAATGCCTCAATATACCGAAGATCAGCTTCGTCAGGCTCTCGAGGACATCTCAAACGGCAAGAGTCAAAAGAGAGCCTCATTGGAGTATGGGATACCACGATCAACCCTCCAACTACGTCTCCAAGGTGGTCAGACTAGGAAAGTGGCTTTTGCTGACTGGCAGAGGCTGTCTCCTGACCAGGAGAGTAAGCTGGCACAATGGGTTCGCATTCAGGCTTCGCTGGGCCTCGCACCAACGCACCAATAGGTGAAGGAATTCGCAGAGCGAGTTCTGGCTGCTGCTGGGGATACCAAACCACTGGGAAAAGGCTGGATCTATGCCTTTGTGAGAAGGAACCCTATCATTAAGGTTCAGAGAAGTCGTTCTATCGATTCTAGACGCGTTAATGGGGCATCTACTGAGGTCATTAGGAACTGGTTTAAGTTCCTCGCTATCCCTGAGATCAAGGACATCAAACCAGCCAACAGATATAATATGGATGAGACTGGCATCCTCGAGGGTCAGGGAGCTAATGGGTTAGTGCTGGGTATGGCTGAGACGACGTCTGTTCGCAAGAAACAACCTGGGTCGAGGGCATGGGTCTCTATCATTGAGTGTATCTCAGCCTTGGGTAGGGCACTTCGTCCTCTTATCATTTTCAAGGGGAAGACAGTCCAACAGCAGTGGTTTCCATTACATCTCGTTCCATACGATGGGTGGGAGTTCACAGCAACAGATAATGGCTGGACTACAGACTTAACTGCCATTGAATGGTTAGAGAAGGTGTTCATCCCACAGACTATGCCTGAGGCTGAGGGGGAGGCTCGACTGCTGATTGTGGATGGGCATGGGAGTCATACGACGACAGACTTCATGTGGAATTGCTATATTAACAATATCCATTTACTGTTCTTACCACCACACTCCTCTCATGTCCTCCAGCCTCTTGACCAGTCTGTCTTCAGCCCTGTTAAGTCAGCCTATCGGAAGGAGCTCGGTTACTTGTCTCAATGGAACGACTCTACCATTATAGGTAAAAGGAACTTCCTGGACTGTTACCAGAAAGGCTCGACTTGCTGGTCTATCAGTCTCGAACATCAGAAGTGGTTGGAAGTGGACTGGTCTACACCCTGTGGCGATGGTTAAGCCCCTGATGAACCCTATGGTACTACCTGAGCCTCCTGCTAAGCCCACCACACCCAAACCAACTAGTCAGGGCAGAAAGCGATGCCATAATGGTCAACAAACTACCCCTGTTGAGCCATGGGATTCTGCCTCCTCTGCAGTGGTCTGGTCGACACCCAGGAAGCTGGCAGAGCTCAGCGGTCAACTGCACTTATACACCCAACTCGACAATGATACCAGCACTCAACGGCTGCTATTCAGGAAGGTGAAAAAAGGCTTCACAGAGCAGGCCTGGCAACTGGCAGCTGCCCAGCAGCAACTAGCTCACCTGAGGGCTCAAGTTACCAACGCTGCAGTGAGGAAGAGGAAGACTGTTCAAATCGATCCCAACACGAAGTTCGCGAACATCAGGGATATCCATCGGGCTCAAATCGAAGCGGGTGAAAAGGAGGTTATCACGGCTGAATCCAGCGACTCTGAATGCCCTAGTGAGGCTGGCAGCTGTATTGTAGTGGGTGTGGTTGAGGATCAATAGTTAATAGTAATGAGGAGGTCGGGTTGTGATCCCATCGTTTTTGTGGTGCCAGAAACAGGGGGGTGCCAGGAAGTGGGGGGTTTGACTTAATAGGCAGGTATCATGGGCTGGCTGGCACCTGCCCTGGGCGAAGTGGGACAACTGGCTTAGTCATCACGGCCGGATAAAGGTGGGGCAACCACCCAGGCCGTCACTACCTACTTCGACCGACTCCTGCCTACAATGTAAGATAGAACACAAGAAGAACAAGCAATAGGATCACCAACAGACGAGTGATAATTGCTACCACTATTTGTCGTATACGACCCCGTGAACCAACAGGTTTGTATATCGTGTATCCTGCCTACCTCCTGGATCTCAAGGAAGGCCGCTTGTGAGGAGTCTGGGACCTTACCGCGAATCCCCTGAATAACGCTGGTATTGTCGATGCAGATGTGTATAGGCTGGCCTTGGGAGGTCTGAAGGGCCCGTCGGAGCCCAGCCCTCGCCCCCTCCGCCTCACCATCAAACACTTCTGCTAAGCCGAGACGGCCGCAGCCCTGGGCTATACGTTTATTGTTGCGGTAGATAACAAAGCCGTACCCTGTAGCTCCGTCAGGAGCTTTGGAGCCGTCTGAGTATACGACTGTATGCTGACCTGGCACAGTCTTGAGCCAGGCCTGGAAAAGGCTAAATACGTGGCACTTATTAGATTCATAGTGACACATCTGAGGTCTCAGTAGTCTACTGTACCTGGTAGAACTGTTGAGAGTCTGTCAGCAAATAATCATCGATATTCCAGAAGTGTTTGACAAACCTGGTAGTAGGTGCCTCTGTCGGATTGGAAGTCCAATTCGACCGCGAGTAAGGGCAGAGCATGGGCCACCTCGAGGGAGTACAATTAGACCTCGACTACCCACCCAACCTCCGGTTGGAATCTCCCTTCTACTCCTTACGCAGAATCAATCAATACAGAGATATTGATACTTCGTCACCCCAGGACCCTACGGTTCGAACCAACTTCCCTGTGAAAGGAATACCAACAGCCTCCGATGGTAGCATTGTCAACGTATCCGTGACCAGCGACCAAAGCCGCAAGGCCGAGGAAGCAAGCAGCGATCTGCATGTTTCGAGATTTTTCAGACGAACGTCTGATGTACAAAGCGAGAGATCGACGACTGCGACAAGGAGCAAGTTGCGTAACGACCAGCACTTGGCTGGAGCTGAGCACTTTAAAGCTGGAAACTTGCTCTCACACAGGAAACACCATGCTATATATCATCAGCACCCCAACTCAAAACAGTTCATCCTTTCTTCTCCTTTTTCTTTCCAATGGGGCTCCTCCTCTCAATCCAATACACCAAGCCAGCGTAGCCAGCCAGCAAACTCCTTGGCACGACTACGTTGCCTCCCCATCCCATCCCCTAGAATCTCATCACGGGAACTAAGAGGACAGCGCAAAAAGAGAACAACGGAACCACACGAGCGAGTGCCACGGCTCGACTTTATTAACTCGAGCAAGGGGCATTGCCAATGAAAATGGGGAAAACCCGCATCCCACTTTGGAGGCGGGGTTTCCACCAATTAATCAGCCAAGCCATCGTCGCAAGTCAAAACGCCAATGCCACCCGTGTTTTAATTAAAAGGAAACAACAAAGACGAATAAGCAAGGTTGGATCTTGCTACTACTATGTAGACAGAGCGCAACAGATCACCGCGCGGGATCCGTGATGCCGTGTGCCGTGGGTTTGGATTGCGGGGGGATCTGCAGTGTCACCATGCCGGTTCATGATGCTTGCAAATCTGCAGGCAGTGCCGAGGAAACAATTTTGTTTGGAGATAATTCCTGAAATAGCTGGTGATAAAAGGCGGTGAGTTGCAAGTAACTTATTGAGGTTTGCAAGATTCGTACGCGTTCAAGTAAGTCTTTGCAATTTGGGGTCACTACCTACCTATGTAAATAAAAACGTGTTGAAAGCGACAACGCGCCACCGAAAACGGAATGAGCAGATAGTAGCCAGTGCCAAGCCTCACATGTGGGACAAGTTGTCAGGGAAGCTGAATATAATACCGCAAGAGTTGCCTCCGTGTCGTCTTTTGGTCATCCCATCTTCTGCCGGTCTCTATGTGTTTCTCCCCGAACAGGAATGTGACATCTTGCTCACCTAGGTTGCAGTAAGCTGAACAACCACATGACACTCTTTGGCTTTACTGTAAAGTCAGATTATCCATTAAAGCCATGGTGTGTCCAATTTTGAAGCGTCTTTCCTTCTCTCAGATGATGGTGCCGATCGGATT